ACATTTCAGCGATCCCAATGTTGACCAGAAACCTAAACTTAATTCCATTCTCACTGACTTCCTGGAGCATAGTCCTTATTTTTCCAACCGTTTACAAGGTTGCGAGATTCTGGAACCTCATCTTCCTTTCTGCAGGGCACACCCTTTTCCCCTGCTGTTCCTCCAACACTGGACTTGTTAGCATCCATGAGACTCTGATTCCAGCTGTTCTTTCACTCTGGTCATGTTTCCTTCCTTGATCTTTGCATAGCTGACCCCTTCTGTCATTGCATTCTCATTTCGGAAGGTCCCTCCCCAAATTGGCCCACCTGGACTGCCCCAGGTGGATACTCCTCACCATCAGCCTTTGCCCATAATAGTTCTTCATTCTCTCCGATATGTACTTGTAGATTTGCTCACTGATCTTTGCTCCACGCAGAGTGCTGAATGTCTCACTAATGCCTGACGGATAAGCTTCCATGAATGGCACAGGAAATGATTCCAAAAGCAAAATGATATTTCTACCTTCTCCTTCCTTTATTATTATTATTTTTTTAATTTTAAAGCTTTGTGCTAACATCCTTGCTATTTTGAAAATGAGTCATTCTATTTATTGGAAAGGTAGAAGTATAGAAGAAGAGTGAGTGGGAGAGAGAGGAGGAGAGATACAGAATCCAACCTTCCGACTGCTATTCACTCTGCACATGCTGGGGCTGGTCAGGCTGAAGCGAGAAGCAAGGAGCCAGGAGCTTCATCCAGTACTCCCAAGTGGGATGGAGCCAGGAGCTTCAACCAGTACTCCCAAGTGGGATCAGGGGCCCAAGTACTTGGGCCTTATACCTCTGCTTTCCCAGGTGCATTAACAGGGAGCTGGATGGGAAGTGGGACAGCCAGGACTGTAACTGTCATCTTCATTCCAACTGGTGTTGCAGGCAATAGTTTAACCTGTGATACTATGCCACAATGCTAGCCCCAAAATACTTTCACTTTACTTTATAATCACAGACTCAGAGCTTCTATTTTGTATATATGCACCCTTCTGTTATCTACTTTGTGCATTCAGTACTATATTCTTAAATCTGTCCCCACAGCTGCATACCTTGCAGCAGATGCGCAGTGTTCCAAGTCATCCATCTACAATGCCCTCTCTTATCTCCTCTTGCCATCCCTTACACCATCTTTCCCACGTGCGAGAGGTTACTTCCTGCCGCCATATATAACACTGAGACAAACCTCATTTACAACCCCTTGATCACATGAAAAGGGATTCATATTCTCATGGATATTTATTCAGAAATGGGTTTACAGACAAGACAGCCACTATATTTGACTACTTCATGTCACCACCTGCAGGATCTGAGTTTGAAAACGACAGACATCCCAGAACACTCAGTATTCTTGCTTTCTAAAATTATCAAGATTACGCTTACGCACTAAAAATTGCTACATCTTTATTATTCTAATTTTAAAATCTATATCCACTACACATCACAGTAGCATAGTGGCTAAAGTCCTCGCCTTGCATGTGCCAGGATCCCATATGGGCACCAGTTCTAATCCCAGCAGCCCCACTTCCCATCCAGCTCCATGCTTGTGGCCTGGGAAGACAGTTGAAGACGGCCCAAAGCCTTGGGACCCTGCACCTGGGTGGGAGACCTGGAAGAGGCTCCTGGCTCCTGGCTTTGGATCGGTGCAGCTCTGGCTATTGCAGCCACTTGGGTAGTGAATTTAAAAACGGAATATCTTCTTCTCTTTCTCTCCTTCTCTGTATATCTGACTTAACAATAAAAATAAAACTAAATCTTAAAAAAATCTATATCCATTAGTAAGTTTGAGGCCCTCTGTATGTGCCATGCGTGCATCCCCTACATTTTTAGTTCTTTTTTCTGGTTATTGTCTGGAAGCTGGTGACCAAATCATCTGTCAGGAACGACTCTTCCTTATTACACTTTTAATTCCTCTGACTTGTTTTCTCAGTCACATGTCACTTAACGCAGAGGATATGCGCGGAAAGGTGTGCCCTTAGCCTGTCCTGTCACTTTATGAACATCAGAGAGAGCACGGACACGGGCTAAGATGGCCGACATCATTAAATGATGCAATCTTGCAGGAGTACAACTGTGGGTATTGTCATCATTGAACGGACAGCCATCCCATGCACATGTCGTCATCGCATTATGGCTTGCAGCATACAGAACCAGTTACTCTGATAACATTTTCTAAATCTCAGAAGTTTTAACTTAATTTTTTAACTCTCTGTTTTCTGATATTTGTGATGAAATAATACCATAAAATGCATTATATATGTTTAAACTGCATCTCAGAAACTATTTTTACTGCCAATTGTTTCAGTATTTTACACTTATTCAAGTTTTCATTACAATGCGTAACGATTTAGTAGCATTCATTTTTAATGCAGTAGTTATTTCTAATTTTGCTATATTGTAGACATAGAAGCTAGCCTGTGTAACACTGAGAGTTTATTAGTTGCTTACTTCTTGGTTGATATTGTGCTCTGTGTTTGGAGGCGTGGTCCTCAGGGTGGAGATGCTGACAAATGCTGTGGACCTTTAAGAGTTTAATCATCTTGACAAGATACTGGGAATGAAGGTTGCTGTACTTTGTTCAAGATCTGGTAGGTCCATGCTTCTGAGATTGGAACCCAAGAATTTCTATTCTAAATAATCTCTCCAAGTTATCCTCTCACTGCTAAAGGACCCTTGACTTCTTTTGTATCTTTTCTCAGAGCTTAACTCTACATTTGGCACTGCAAAATGAGTTCGATAAGTTTCATCGACAAACTGCTTCAGTTGAGATTCCACAACTTACAAATGCAATTAATAAGTGGGATTTTCTATTATGTTTATCTATAATTTTTAAAAGGCCAATTAGGTACTAGCCATTCAACAGAAATTAAAGGTAGGAAAACCAGGTACAGCCTGCTGTGGGATCTATGGCAGGTCCAGGAGGATGGGGCCTCAAAAGGAACAGTGGGACCCCCATTTCTCTCCACTGCTGAGTCAAGATGTGACTGCTCCCCCTGAAACATGACCCTGCATGATTAAATCCACTTCCAGAACCGAACTTACGGAGTCGGCATGTCCTAAGCGTCCGAAACTATTACCTAAATAATCCTTCCCATAACTACCTTGGGTCAATTTCCACATAATTATGCAAACTGAATTCAGAGTTTTTATGATGTTTTGCATATCTTTTAAAATAATATATGTTTTATGCCAGGTACAATGGCTCAGTGGCAAAATCCTCATCTTGGTATGTGCTGGGATCCCATATGGGTGCCAGTTTGTGTTCTGGCTGTTCCATTTCCCACAGCTCCTTACTTGTGGCCTAGGAAAGCCCTATTAGATGGCCCAAAGCCTTGGGGCCCTGCAACTGCGTGGGAGACCCAGCAGAAAGTCCTGGCTTCTGGCTCCAGATCTGCTCAGCTCTGGCTGTTGTGGCCACTTGGTGAGTAAACAAGCAGATGGGAGATCTTTCCCTCTATGTCAATTTGCCTTTTGATAAAAATAAATAAAAGTCTTTTTAAAAATGTATGTTTTTTGTGTAGTGAGTGCTTATAGATAAATAATATTTCATAGTTCAGAGTAATTATAGATAATACACTGAATATGACAGAAGAGAGGGAAATAGCAATGAGCCACGTGCAGTATATAATAAAAATGCAAGACACAAGAAGTGGGCACTGGCTCCATCCGTGTTTAGTATAACTGAGTAGACACTAGAGATGTACTGGCTACACTCAATCCTGGTGATGCATGTATTTGACCTGTAACACACTTCCCACGAGAATCAGACTGGGATATACTTGCGGGGAAAGTAGGTGTTTGTGAGACATAGAATATTAATTCCTAATTGAGTGAACAAGTATAAACTGATTTTATTGTGAAGAAAATTCTATTAGAATTAATGTCAAGTAAAGACTTGGTATTAAAATCCCAAATCATTCCTCATCTTACCAGGACACAGAAATTTTAAGAAAGCCAAATTGAGCAGTTTTGTGGAACCCTGGAAAGGCAATACAAACCACCCCAAAAAAAGCTGAGTAGAATCAAAGAGGCATTTTAAAAAGAAAGAGTTCAGTGTTGGAAGTAGTTATGTGTATCTTAGTAAGGTTATATTAACCGTGCATTAAATTTTCCCATGGCTATGGGTGATTTCATAGTCACAGAACAGGCTATTCATAAATACACACAGAAAAATTCACTTCATAATGAGTAAATTGCGTGGCAGAAAAAAGGTGGGGCCTCATTCTCCTGAGCTGATGAGTTTACATTATCCGTAAAACCTACTGCAGGTTCGTCACGAACTCGGGTCTGAGCTTTCTAACAAGCAACACAAAAGTACAAAACTCAGTTCTTACCAGATTTCAAATGTCCATGAAATAAGAATACACAGTGATTCAGAAAAATTACAACTTTTTTTTTTAATATCAAAATCCTACAGTTGGACCTGGTGCAATAGTGTGTAGGGGTAAGGTCCTTGCCTTGCACGCGCCGGGATCCCATATGGGCATTGGTTCTAATCCCGCCGGTCCCGCTTCCCATCCAGCTCCCTGCTTGTGGCCTGGGAAACAGTGGAGGGTAACCCAAGGCCTTGGGAACCTGCACCCATGTAGGAGACCCAGAAGAGCTCCTGGCTCCTGACCTCAAATTGGCTCAGCTCCGGCTGTTGCACTCACTTGGGGAGTGAATCATCAGATGGAAGATCTTCCTCTCTGTCTCTGCTCCTCTCTATATATCTGCTTTTCCAACAAAAATAAATAAATCTTAAAAAAAATCCTACAGTAATTACCTCCAAGGACTGCTATTAAATAGAGTAGTTGAGGTGTAGAGGGAGGGAGAGGGAGAGAAAGAGACAGAAAGAAGGTTTGTTATGAATAATACAGCGGTAAGTAGAATACTCTCTCCATAAACACTAAGGCTTCCTCAGGACACTTCTAGTGTCGACAGAACCAACATGCCTACCACAGCAAAATAAAATACAGTTCTTCCAGGTCATACCTTGAATTATGTTTTCTTATTCTGTGTGATGCAGGTATACATTCAAGATTCTCAGAAAAGAATAGCCAGCAGGTGTTCCACAAGCATCCCTCCGTGAGGACCACTCCTCTCCATTGATTCTGCTGTAAATACAGATGGAATTTGGGTTGGGGATTATTTCTCCCTGTGAGGTGCCTGGAGTTTGGCACATCCATGATTTCTGCAATGTATATACCTATGTGCCCAGGAGACGAACAAGCCAAGGGTAGAGGCAGCCAAATGTGCACAATGAGGAGCCAGATTAGACGAGTGTCTGAGTGCACTTTCCATTTCTACCAGAGGGAAGTGAGGAGGAACTGGCCCAGGGCAGAATTCACTCAGATTGTTTTCAGTCCGCCCACAGAGAGCTCATGGCTGAATAACTAAGGCCTGCAAATCCCTCTGGATCTGCAAAAAATTACAAAAGACAAGTCTAAACAGAAGCGCACCCAGGAGAAAACAAACAAAATTTTAGGAACGTATTAGCAGAGCACTCACCAGGCATCGAAATGTGGGCTATTCTCACAAGTGGAGTCCCAGTTCTCACAATGGAAATCTCCTCTGAGAAAATGCACAGACAGAAAAATTCGTAAGGGAATGTATTCACGGGAATTATGATGAATAACCAAGTCAGATCCATATTCTTCGATTTTTTCACAGTAACGTTCAATCTCACCATTAATGCAGGAAAGTATTTGGTTAATTCACACCTTTTCTAGCACCTATGTGCCAATGCCTTCTATAAGCAAGGCTTTTCCATTTATCCAATGATGACATTTCTAGGAATTGAACCTACATACATCCACGTAAACCAGATGTGACAAATTGTCCTGTAACAGGAATGTTTGCTTCAGTAAGAAGCTAGAAATGTATTTTCATACCTATTCATGTAGGCAGATTACATTTACTGCCAAAATTCAGTTCTGCAGCACTATCAAACATACTTATTAAACATCAAACAGCTAACGCAAATCACCAATTGTGAATGATACAGCGTGTACATGGATAGGAGAAGCTGATAAGCATACTATAAGAAGAGTCTAAGAAGATACTCCATGAAAATCTGTATTCATGTGGCCCACTTTAGATTCTCAACACCAAACCCTAGATTCTGTCTACCACAGAAAAGAATGAACAGAACTGCTTTCATTTGCAAACTACTCACACACAGACGGCCATGGCACACGGCCATTGATCAGGTGGCAGAAACCACACATGCCTGTTTTCTCCTACACTTGTTATGATCTTTCACGTTTCTCTTACAGTGTGCTTTTAAATGTTATTATGGAAATAAATCTCTCAAGGGGCAAAGCCAGGGACATCTTCTGGGGAACCATGCTTGATCGGCTAACGCTACTGCTTCGTAAGACTGCATCCTCTTCCAGGGGATGCTGTGGTCTTTGCGTCCCTTGTCTCCTTTCAGCAACTCCCACATTGCCTCTGAGCTATCCCTCAGCACCAGACTGTTGACATGAGCACCGATTAATTCGGTTAGTCACATTGGGCTTACATTCAATAAAACTTTCCCTCACAATGTAGAACTGAATTCATTTCATAGCACAGTCTTATGATGTTAACTTATCATACAATGCTTGCGTTTTGTAGGTATTATATGTCAAATCAGACATGTTCCCAAACATCCTCGAATAAGCACAAGATAAAGCAGCTTGCTTAATTTAGGGGACACGGTTTTTTCCAAAAGAATTTTATGAAGATTAGGAATCATACTTAATATAGTGAGTTACTCATCCGATGAGAGGAACAAGGGAATCAGAACCGAATGAAAAAGAAAATTAACTTAGAAATTTAGAGCTTGTGTCAGAATCCTTTTAAAGCTCATTTCCGAATTTTGGCGGACAGTCATCAGCAAAGAGCAAAAGCATGCGTCACAGTGCAAAGTCAGTCTGCACTCAACATCAGCCTTTTCCTAAAAACAAAGCAGTGGTCCATTTCCTCTAAGTGTTTAACTTTTTTTTTTTTGTCTTTTAATGGCTAATGCCACTTCTGATTTGATGATAAAATGTTTAAGCTTGTGTAGATTACATTGCATAATGTATATTTACAGTTAGTTCACAGATTTCTTGCTTACATGCTAGATGTTACGTTAATACTATTCGCCTTCAGATCGTTGCCACACATGAAAATTTCTTTAATATTTCAATTGCAATTGTGTTTATAGTGGCATTTATAATTCTTTTGAAAGCAATATGGCTCTGAAATTTTATTCTAATTCTTCTATCGAATGACAAGAATATTTGAACAATTATTGAAATTTTCCCAACTTACTTTTGATTTGAAAGCTCAGATGATGTCATTTAAATTTTTCAAAGGTCCTTTTGTCAATGGGGTCAACACATTGACAACTATGCTTTTTAAATTTTTTTTTCATTTTTGATGTATATGAAAAATTGAAATTAAAATGAAGAAAGTAATAACACAGGGGAAGTCAGTAGAGGGAGGGGATTTAGGAAGGATGGGTGAGGAGAAATCCCAGAGCCTGTGCAACTATATCACAAAATAAATTTTTCAAAAAGGAATAAATACTGGCACTATAAAAGTAAATGAATGAGTGAGAGTTTACTATGTGCTGGGCATGGCAGTAAATTCTAAGTTTACTTATACATATTTAAAATAAATTCAGAATACCACCCAGTAGACACAAACAAAAAGCTATGCTTTATTGTTTTAACATCTTCTGCAGGAGGTGGCATTAATGGATCACACTGCGCAGACTCTTCAGCTGATGACATCACTATGGCTTTCAGGGTGGGCATCAAATGCCAACAATTTTTCTGGGCAAGAGTATAATCGTCATCATTTTTCTAGAAGAAAAGAAAAATCCAATGCTTACTTTTTCATCAAGCATGTACTTTTGCTTTTTGAGCTCCTCACTGCCAGAAATAGTTACTGATGATGTCGTGGTGATGAAGAAGATAAGCAGTAGGCAGTGGCAGAGGAGGAAGAAATAATTCCCTCACTATATATATACATATATGGTCAAGGATTTATATTCCAAGAACACTGCAGGTCAAACTACACTCCAGGTATGACTTAACAGCACCATTCATTCCCTGCAGCCCACAGGTCATCCATAAACAAACAGCCTATGACTTCCCACACTCTGCTGGCCCAATTCACTGGTAGACCAAAGGACTGGCAAGAAAAGAAGCAAGAAACTCCTCCACTCCTGCCATGCAATAGAACAATTGAGCTCTCCTACTACCATTCACATTCAAACACTCGCTTTCACCAACAAAATCCCTACATGCCATCCTTGGAAAGCAGGTGCTACTGTGTGAGTGAGAGATCAGAAGAGACAGGTGACCACTCACTGTCACTTGAGTTTAGCAACATATCAAGCAGAGACTTCTGCTACTTGTATGTAGTACTAGACAGAAAGACAGAAAGTACATTCTTACACTTAAACATGGCATGGTTTCTGGAAGTGCATAGAGTCTGTGATAAACTGTGACTCTCTCTGAACCAAGGGGCTCTCACATAAGGTGCAGCAGTGAATACATGAGCTTCAGATCATTTTATGAAAGCTGCTAATCCAATGGAGGAGCTGGCATTGTGGCCTTGAGGATAAGGCTTCCCAACCCAGCTCCCTGATAATGGCCCAGGAAAGCAGCAGAGCATGGCCCAACTTCCTGGGCCCATCAACCCTCGTGGGAAACTCAGAAGAAGCTCCAGATTCCTGGCTTCATCCTGGCCCAGCCCATTGCAGGCTTCTGAAGAGCGAACGAGCTGATGAAAGAGCTCTCTGTTCTTTACCTCTCGCTCTACATCATTCTGACTTTAAAATAAATATACAAGGAGATTCAAATGGGTACCTGAATGAAAGGGACAAATGCCGATGTTCATGGCAATGACAACATTGAATGAGAACAAGTCATCTTTTGTACATGCAATGTAATATGACTTTCCAATGAGCTTTGGGAGATTTGTGTGAAGATCCAAACACAGGATTCATCACAGTACAGTACAGATGACAAAATAAAAATCACTGTGCTTTCATGCAGATATAGAGTCTAATTTTCAGTAGAGCATTTTTTTGAACTCTAATACCTTTACTGCCCTGGGGTCAAAAGAATTTTACCCTGAAACTCAGCTGTATTCAACAAGACTGACTATTACACTTAGTAAACATGGTTTCATTGAACGTGTAACAGAGTTGTGAAAAGTGCAAGTCGTGTGAAATACAAGGTGTCTTTTCACAATCAGAATGATCAGTCATGCTCCCCCAGGCCAATCTGCTCCAAGATGCATACTTCCACAGCTGTAGGCCTCTTACTAGAACAGATCTGGTTGAAGTATTATAAGCTCTGGAGGAAAAAGAAAAAGATTTCTCCCAGGTTTCTGGTTTGTGCTACTGAATGCATAGCAATGCCATTTGCTGAAATGAAGGGGGTTGAAGATGAAAAGAAATCATAAGTCCATTGTAAGTATATCTTCCTATTATTATTCCATTAAAAGCTAGCTTTGCTTCATGTTTGGGTTTCGATGATGGACTCTTTGAAAGAGAAGTAGTCAGTCCTTTGTATGAGATGGCCCTGAAGGCACAGTTAACCAACTGTGGACTAGAAATATTTGGGGGAAAAATTGTATCATTGGACCCAGTGCTATGGTTCAATTGTCTGATTCTCCCCTTGCACGTGACACCGGGCTCCCACACGGGCATTTGTTTGCCTCCTGGCTGCACGACATTCCACTCTGCTCCCAACTTGTGGCCTGGGAAAGCATCAGAGGATGGCGCAAAGCGTGGGGATAGTGCATCCATGTGGGAGACCCAGAAGAAGTCCTGGCTCCTGGCTTTGGATCAGCTCAACTCTAGCTGTTGTGGCCATTTGGGGATTGAACACGTGACAGGAAGATCTTTCTCTCTGCCTCTTCTTCTCTCAGTAAACATACCTTTTTAATAAAAATAAATATTTTTAAATAAAACAAAAAAGTTGTCTCCATTACATATACACAGACTTTTTCTCTTGTCATTGTTTCTTCAGCACCGCAATGCAGCAGTTCTTTACATAGCATTTACATTATATTTGGTATTATAAGTAAAACAGAAATAATACTTAAAGGAGGACTGTGTAGATTCCATGCAAATACTGTCTCATTTTATAGTATAAGGAACTTCAGCATCCACAAGAGGTCCTAGAACCAGTCCTCTGGGAACACCAAGCAGCAGGCATACTCTCTTTGTGTTGTGATTCTCTCAAAACAATTGCTCATCTGGAACGTTTCACACAATTCAGCAGCTTGCTCTCTTCCTTCTCAGCATTCACCAGCATTTCTCTACATTTGTGATTTTTTTTAAGTTTCTTTGAAGAAGTTGATATGTTTTCTCACTTTGCTAAGTAACTTGACAAGCTAAAGTGGTTGTATGAATTCATGAGACAGTA